TATGACTCGCATAAAATACTCCTTTCATATATACACAACAATTCTCTTTTATTTTTATACATAAATAACAGCGGAACCTGTTTTGTTATATGAGTAATGTATTTAGTTGCTTTATTTACTGCTTATGTTACATATTACACATAGAAAATACAAGGCGTGTAATGCAAAGGGGCTTGCCACAAGACGAATATCTTTTTGCTGATCACTGCAACTTAATGCGTGGCGACATTTTTACTTGGTACTGCAGACGTCTATTTGACACAGACATCTCGTATTTAACCACAATGATTGACGACAGACAGGATGGTCATATTACTCTTGTATCAGATTTTGTTTTTTGAAACCCCACGATAAAGGTTTTGTACGCTTAACATTATAGATTTTAGGCACGCCAGATTTTCTGTTAAGCGAAATTATTTTCGGGTGCAGCTCGATGTTAACTGACTGGATTCATTTTTCTCAGAATTTATTTTCTTTGTATAATATATGTAATTAAAATAGAATTTATTTTCACTGTATAATATAAAATAGAATTTATTTTCACTGTATAATATATGTAATTAATATAGAATTTATTTTCACTGTATAATATATGTAATTTAGAACTTATTTTCACTGAATTTATTTTCACTGTATAATTAATAATTAGAATTTATTTTCACTGTATAATATATGTAATTAATATAGAATTTATTTTCACTGTATAATATATGTAATTAAATAGAATTTATTTTCATTGTATAATAAATGTAATTAATATAGAAATTTATTGTATTAAATGTAATTAATATGGAATTTATTTTCATATGTAATTAAAATAGAACTTATTTTCACTGTATAATATATGTAATTAATATAGAATTTATTTTCATTGTATAATAAATGTAATTAATATGGAATTTATTTTCACTGTATAATATATGTAATTAAAATAGAATTTATTTTCACTGTATAATATATGTAATTAATATGGAATTTATTTTCACTGTATAATGTATGTAATTAATATAGAAATCTTGGGTTAAGTGAATTGAGGTGGAAGGAGAGTTTTCTGAAAAATAAATATCTTTGTTTAAAATAAATCAAATTATAATCAGTAGGTTATGAATTTAATGATTTATGCGCATAAATTTATTCGTATATATCCAAGTATAACACACACACACACACAAACACACACAAACACACACACATACACAGAGAAACACACACGCACACATAAGAGATACTGCCTAAAAAAAAAAAAAAAAAAGCACCAAAAAACAGTTGACCAGGGTATTTTTGAAGATCATTTTTTTTTAAGGCAAGCAGTTTTTCTAATTATAAATACTCAATATCATGAAGATAACATTAAAAAAATTATATTCTCACTCAATCTTTTTTACTCTGGGTTTTGTGAAAATTATTTCAAAACTAGCCTTAATATCTAATTTCCGATTAAATATATATATATAAATATCTAAGACATATTATATAATTTTAATTTTTGGGTTACAATTTTAAAGAAATTTAATTAAGTTATTTTAATGAAAATAAATTCGATTACAGTAATCCCTCGATTAGTGCGACTAATGTGTACATTAAAAGATACGCACTAATGGAAAACACATTAATCGAATATAATAACTTACAGGAAATGATGTAATCTTTACCTCAAATTTTAGTCTCATTCACAATTAATTTTTAATTTGCGTACTTTTTAATTAAAATATAGGTACATGTAACAAGATACAATAAAAATGCTATGAATTAATGTTTATTAATCTGATGTTTTTGAAAAAAACTTATTTTGGGCAGTTTGCCGCATGGTATTCTTATATTCTTCATATAATTAGGTTAGAAATTACATTTTTATCGATTTTATTCCAAATATTTGTTTCTTCTTTTAATTATTGGGTATTTTTTATAGATTTTGCCTCTCCATTTTTCTTTTCATTAGATTCCATGGATTTTTAATTGAGTTTTAATCAGGTTGCTGTGGCGAGCAGTCTAATAGTTTTAATTTAATCTTTGTTATGTATATCTTCTATTTTGGAAAATTTTCCAAACATAATCATTAGTATTTTAACCTGAAATTGTTATTTATAATCATAGTAAATGCATCCATCTTTTATACTTCGATATATTTTTAATAAATGTTAATTTCTGCGTTTAATTAAATCGTCCATTTCCTTTTAAGACCTTCAAAATAAATAAGAAAAAATCAAAATGTTTAAAAAATTTAATAGAGACAAATATTCAAATATATATTTTTATTACCGGCTTATGTTATAAAATTTATCTATTTATTATCGTCCATTTATTACACTAATAATTACTTAGATAACGTAATACTTGGCAAACAAAATAGTTACCCATTTTCCATTTATAAATTTTAGAAAATTTTTAATTAATTGGTAACTATAAAAAAAAAAATCAATTTTTAATTAAGTCAGTGATGTGCCATGCGTGATACTCGCTTTGTAGATTACGCATCTTTCGACACAAGACTGATGAGGATATTTCTTTTTGCGAGGGACCGGGAAGAGGACGATTCACACCTTCATTTCATAGCACGTAAGTGAATACAATGGATTCGACTGGAATTCGAACTCGGCTCTCCGATTCCTCAGTCCGAGACGCTATCCATTACTCCACCGGACTGGGGCAAAACTGGTGGATGTTTTATTGCACTAAGCAAATTTTGGTAAAAAAAAAAAAAAAAAATCAGTGCACAAACTGAAAGCGCATTAATCGAATGCGCATTAATCGAGTGATTCCTGTATATAATCAAGTCCCTTGAAGAATGGATTTAATTTCCACAAAAAATATAAAGAGAGATAAAATAAAGGAACGTTTGAATAGATCTATTGCGCGCGCATACATACATACATACATACATACATATACATATGTGTGTTTGTGTGTATATATATATATATATATATATATATATATATATATATATATATATATATATATATATATATATATATTAAAATGCAGTATACTTAGTATTACAAAGAAATAGTCATACAAAGAATAAATCAGTAAAGTTAATATAACTAATGGCGAAGTCACTTCCTTAACAGGTTTAATAAAGCATTAACCTACTAACCATTCGTTGAATGACGCGATCCTATTTTTTTTAATTTTAAAATGGATTATATGTTCCGTATATTCCGTAGATATGCTAGTACTTTCGATAATTCTTCTTATCATCATCAGGCATAGATATTTTTCCTTTTCAGGTAACAATAAATGTAATACTGGTCGAAAGATTTTTTTAAAAGTAGGTTATTATTAACAGTTACAAAATTTTGGAATTGCTATATTACTATATTTAAAAAAAAACATTCTCGTTTGCTTCAAACAAAATAAAACACCTTCTCTGTTACCAGTAAATGACAAGAAATTTTTTAATTTCAAATTGAGTTACTGCACCGATTCAACAGATGAACATGATGAAACATCAAAACATTGTGTACACAAAATATAAATTCAGCAACCCCGTAACTAAATAAAAATAATATAAAATATAAAAAATATATGAAATATAAAAATAACTGCCATCTAAGATGAAAGTGAACCTGCTATGACTTTAGTTGGTGATTCTGATTGGCTATGTAAACAATGAGCATAAAAACTATGCATTTGTAGGAAATGGAAGATCATGGAAGAGAAACTCCGGAGATGAAAACAAATTAAGGAAGGCGTATGGCCACAAGGCGGGATCTAAAAACTGAGGTCTATACCAGAAAGAAAATGTATGCATTGTAAAATTCATCAAATAAGGCAGGATATTAAATAAAAGGTCTGAGTTGTTTTCTAAATATAGGTACAGGAATAAGTGCTTGCTAGTCTACCCAACACAAGAGAAGTGTTTATGGATTTTTATGGACCCGTCTAAACTCAGTCTATTCATATCTATCTATCTATCTATCTATCTATCTATCTATCTATCTATCTATCTATCTATCTATCTATCTATCTATCATCTTTCTTCTATCTATCTATCTATCTATCTATCTAGTTTCTATCTATCTATCTATCTATCTATCTATCTATCTATCTATCTCATCTATCTATCTATCTCAGTTTCTTCTATCTATCTATCTATCTATCTATCTATCTATCTATCTATCTATCTCAATTTCTTCATGATCTATCTATCTATCTATCTATCTATCTATCTCAATCTCTTCATGATCTATCTATCTATCTATCTATCTATCTCAATCTCTTCATGATCTATCTATCTATCTATCTATCTATCTATCTATCTATCTATCTATCTAATTCTATACTGATCTATCTATCTCAGTCTGTATCTACCTGTATATGTCTATCGATTACTTGTGTGTGCATCTACATATGTGAATGTGTGATTTTGTGTGTGTTTGTGTGCGTACGTGTGTAGCAGCAGTGTTAGTTCTAGGATGTCTGACTTTAAACCTTTTCTCAAAAGCCTTAATCCTTTCCAGATTGGATTTATTTTACCGGTTTGGAGGCTACTTCAAAATGGCGGAACACCATTTTTCCCACCTTCTGAATTTCCTTACGTTCGGTTGTGTGACAGTTTAAGCGCTGCTTCGTAAATAAATGATGAAACCATGCACATCTGTGCTTACGCGTAAATAAACACAATCAGGTGGAGAAGCACAAGAAAAACAGATAGAAAAATAAAGGACGAATATTGGGCTGTTAGTAGATTTCATATTTCTCTTTCCTCTGACTTGAATCTGAGAAGGCAGTTCCATATTTCTGGGTGTCATTCTGATTTTGTTCATTCAGCTCAGACCTACAAATGCATGCAGAGAGGCAAACAACGTAGTCACTAATCGCGAAGGATAAATAGGAGAGAAAGACTAAGATGATAAGAGAGATAAAACAACCAGACACAGGAAAATATATTTTAGGGAAAAGGAAGAAGAAAGATGAAGAACAGAGGATAGATAGATAGATAGATAGATAGATAGATCATGAAGAGATTGAGATAGATAGATAGATAGATAGATAGATCATGAAGAGATTGAGATAGATAGATAGATAGATAGATAGATCATGAAGAGATTGAGATAGATAGATAGATAGATAGATAGATAGATCATGAAGAGATTGAGATAGATAGATAGATAGATAGATAGATAGATAGATAGATAGATAGATAGATCATGAAGAGATTGAGATAGATAGATAGATAGATAGATAGATAGATAGATGAATAGATAGATAGATGACTATGAACAAGAGAAAGATAGAGATAGATAGATAGATAGACAGATAGAATAGATATATTTAGGGAAAGAGGACAAATTTTGTAGATTTTCCGGTTTGTTAGATTGAGATAGATAGATAGATGATAGATAAATTATGAAAATTATTGAGATAGATATATATATATAGATATATATATAGATATATAGATATATATATAGATGAATATATATATATATATATATATGAACAATACGGAGAAAGATAGGTAGATAGGAGAAATAGATAGATAGATGTGAATAGACATATATTTGGGAAATATAGACAAATTTTGTCATATTTGAACCGGTTTGATTAAACTTTTAGATAAATAGATGTTAGTTGATATATAAAATATACAAATTTATACATCGTTATATCATATATATGAATATATATATATATATTTGAATATATATATATATATATATATATATATATAAAATAAAACCCATAGAAATATGAACAAGTGAAATAGTTAGAAATAGGAAGATAGACCCTTCGGCGGAACAGACTAAGATATGTTCCTGACTGCAAATAGGTAGATAGATAGGTAGGCAGATATGAACAGGATGGTATAAAAGATAGATAGATAGATAAATATTCTTTTAGATAGATAGATAGATAGATATGAACTGAGATAGGTAGATAGATATGAACTGACTGAGATAGATAGTTATAAACTGAAATATATAGCTTGATATGAATAGAGATGGATAGATATAAATAGACTGAAATAGCAAGCTAGATATTGAATATATATAGTGAGATAGATGAGAACAATGAGATAGATAGATAGATAGATAGATAGATAGATAGATAGATAGATAGATAGATAGATAGATAGATAACAGACCGGGATAGATACATAGATAGAAACAATTGACCGAGATAGATAGATAGATAGATAGATAGATAGATAGATAGATAGATAGATAGATATGAACAGGTTTATATCAAATGTAGGTAGGTAGTTAGGTAGAAAGAAAAAAAGAAAGAAAGAAAGAAAGAAAGAAAGAAAGAAAGAAAGAAAGAAAGAACCAATGTTGATATTCTCAACCTATTTTCCGTTCTGGAAATATTCCGTAAACATCAGTTATCAAGTTCAGCCAAAGTTGTTGGGTTGATAGAAACCCTCCTCACCAAAGTCATCTGTTTGCCTTGTCCAACCTTTTCTATTGTTGCAGATGATCGCATCATTCCCACTTCCTTTGCGTTTTTCCTCATACCGCTCTTTGACTTCAAGTTATTTACTTCCCATCAAATTCTTGCCAATTTTCTCCAGGCATTTTGCCTTCTCATTAGTCAGACAATTTCAAGCTGCTTCTCATTAGACTTTTTAATTATGCAATGTTCATGCCCCCAAATAAAAGCAAATAATCACACACGAAAACTTGAGTCATCCAACAGAACTTCCATCCATTATAATTTCTGTGGCTAGGTAATTGGGGATTTACATATGAATCTGTGTTAATCCAATCAAATCTGGAACATTCCATTCTTGTATGATTTTACTTGCTTATATAATTTTATGTTTTGCAAATTTTAATTGGCCATTCTCGTAAGGCCGTGGAGGAATACTGGCAAAATATTGAATAATCCTTTAAGAAGAGTTCTACTGTCAATCATCGCCTCCTCTCACGTAAGGTCGCGTATTAATATATATCAGCGTACATGGACCCGCTTTCGACTCGGGTGAACCTTCATCAGGAATGTGTAGGTAGTGAATTTATGACAGCTATAAACGATAAGTATTTAAGTAAAATAAAGTGCAGTACATCATAAGGAGCACATTTACAATGTCGGTATGTTTGAAATTGGAAGATGCGCTTTTGAATTATTCGATGTAATTTAAAATTTAAAAAGCTTTCTCTGAGGAGGCTTTCAGTCGTTGTGCGTTTTCATTGGCCGATGTATCAACACGGATAGCATAAGCTTGTTGCGAGACGAGTGAGTTTATCGAGTCACCATCTATAGAATTGTTGCCAACAATTTGCTTGTCCGGCAATTTGACCCATAGATGGGGAAAGAAAAGATGGACTCAAACATTTTTAAGGCTAGATAACCTGAAGGCCTTTTCCGCAATGTTCAGAGCTTTTTGTGTCTATTTGTTTTAATCCAATCGTTCCAAACAATTTGTAAAAGAAACGTCGTGTTGACCGGCTCGCTTCCAGATGATTCCATCGAACTCGGAGATCCCCAAGGCTCCATCTTAGGACATACGCTGTTTCTCGTTCATCAATGATCTCCCCGGTGTCATCAGTTCTCAAATAAGCATTTATGCAGGTGACACTACAATTCAATTTAATCCTGTCTCGGTAAAAAATCCGACAGATCTGACAAAGTAAATCTGGTAACTGCTCTTGAAAAGAGCCTCCAATAAGTGGTTAACTGGGGCAAGAAATGGCTTGTAAATATGGATGCCTCCAAAAGAAAACTGATTTCATTTAATCACCACAGGGACCCTTTTTCTGCCTGTCATCAGCATTGAGCAACTATATCGAATCAATAGCTGTTGGTTCACTCTATCATGCCAGAAAACCTTTATCGTCAGAACCCATCTTGCACATTTACAAATCTGCCATGTGTCCGTATATTGAATACTATTGCCAAATCTGGTCTGGTGCTCCTGCTGTATATTTTTTGAGTCTTGATAAAATCCAAAGAAGGATCTGTAATGTAATCGTTCCTGAACTGGCATCTTGAATTCAGTTACTTTTTCACTGGCGTGGCATGGCTTCCCTGTCTTTTCTACAAATATTTTTATGGCAACTGCTCTGATGAGCTTTTATTCCTTGGTGCTCCGACTACCTGAATTTAAACGTGATACTAGATTGGCAACTAGATCCCACCCTTTTACTGTTAAAATAGCTAAATGCAACAGTTACTTCTACTCCAACAGATTCTTTTTTCGCACTTCCGTTTCCTTGCTTCCCTGGTAACTAAAATCTTCAAAAATTTAAATGCCACATCCTTCACCATTTTCTATCTTCTTGAACTCCGTTCATCATTTGTCTTTCTCTCAATTCTCCCTATTTTCTTTCACTTTCAACCCTTGTAACCCCATTCGTTCTAGTAACATTATCGCCTTGCTTGGGTTGAATTCATTAAAATAAAAGCACGTAACTTGACTGGAATTCGAAATCGGCTCTCCATTTTCTCATTCTAATTAAAATACAAAAAATATACCGACACATTAGACCTTATGATTTTCCTCACTTTATTTTATATATGTAGTCATTGTTTATAGCGGTCATAAATTCGCGACATATACATCCCTGATGCGTGTGTCAAAAGCTCGGATACGACATTTATATTGATTTTGGAAAATTCTTACATCTATAGCAGCCATTTTTTTAAAAAATATCATTCCTAATTTAGAAAAAAAGAAGTTGGTCAAATTTAATAGATATACACTCTATCTACTTTTCACAGACACACACACGCAAATTTTGACTCATCAGAGAGTAAGAGTTTAGAAACAATTTTACCTTATAAACCAGTGTTTCTCAATGTGGTCCAGGTGGACTACCGGTGGTCTACATAGCATTTCTAGTGGTCCACAGAGAATTCGTAGCCATAAAAAATTGTAGCCATTTCACAAAAATGTATCTAAATTATTCATACTTTAAAGAAATAAAAAATATAATATTTTGTTTAATTACAGCCATGTCCGTTATATTTGAAAATTTCGAAATTACGTACGTATTATGCAGTGCTATATTTAGTTTATTTTTTACTATATATATTTATATATATATATATATATATATATATATATATATATATATATATATATATATATATATATATATATATATATATATATATTATATATATATATATATATATATATATATATATATATATATATATATATAAGTAATATCATATATACTATATATACCATAAATTTTTATTCATATAACTTTATTTCTATGTTAATAGATCACTGCAGAAAATTGTTTGATAATTGTTGTTGCCTTGTTAGGGTCAGAAATAAAGTCACAAGAGAGGGACTGCGTTAAACAAATATATTAACAGAAACAGTAATACAAACATATACAAACGAGAGTGTTACAGCAAGAATATTCGGTCCGACTATCAGAGTTGACTGCTGGAAACTACCCTCCTCTAAAAGGCAGTACCTGCTCCTATTTGTAGCTGGGGGAGTTCATGCATGCATGGGTAAATTACCATAATAATAATAAATTTGATATTTCTAATTTATAGAAATATAGTATTTATTATTTTTTATTATTTTTTCAGAACATTTATAAGAATGTCTGAACCAACTTCTAATATCAATTGATTTTGATATCCTGTGTTTATCCTTGTTCACTAAAACAAATTTAAAAGTGTAAATAGACTACTTTGTCTTTTCATTGAGTATTTTAGTGTGACAATTGAACAGCCCAACTAGGAGTGGACCATTTTAATTTTTTGAAGAAAAAAACGGTCCATGGACTGAAAAAAGTTGAGAAAAACTGTTATAAACCAACCCAATCTTGTAAATCTTGGAGGATCTTAAGATGGTCAAACCATTCACATTTTCATGCTTTTTTTTTTTATCTAACAGATTTTTCTGGTTGAGAAAGATTATGACTTTTCTTTTTGGCATAATCTGCAGTAAACCCCATCAGAATTAAGGCGAGCTGTTTCTTTTTAAAGCTTTTCTAAAAAAAAAATCTTTACAGTATTAGTGCTCACGTTTCTTGTTACTGCAGAATTTTCGGGGTGCTATGACTTTCAACGATCACTTCCGAGGAACGTGCCTAAACTCAACATTCTTGTTTAACATTTGCTCTTATTATTCTATATATATATATATATATATATATATATATATATATATATATATATATATATATATATATATATATATATATTCTGTTTATACGTTATTTTTATAGAGTTAAATATTTAAGTAAATGTTCTGTTTATAATAAATAGTATTAACTATATTTACCGACCTGAATGTTCGAGTAATTTGATAGAAAATGTGTGTCCCCTGACAAATATCTGTATCTAAAAAAATAACGTATAAACAGAAAATATATATAATAATAGATATATAATAATAGATATATAATATTATATATATAATATTATATATATTATATTATATATATAATTGTAGGACTTAGTCCATTTCGTAACACATGTTGTCATTTGTTTACGTTAAAGTTACGCTTCGAGCAGATATGAGCGTTCGGCAGAAATCATAGGAAATTTGTAATTTAAAACAGTAATTTGACCTTGCTAACCATACGCTTCATCTGTGGCTAAATGTCAGGTTATATAACGGTTGCGTGTAGGATACAGGTTCGATTCCCGTCGGAGGATTTATTGGTGAAATTACTCAATATCAGAGATAGAGCGTATGTAAATATCAAATTAGACACTGAGGTCAACACTAAGCAGCGACAGTCCGTTTTCTGCTTCAACGCAATCTTCAGGCCATGTGTTTTGGTTCAACTATTTTTATATTCTTGTCAGTGGCGCATTATGGGTAGTCAAGTCTGTCGCATTAACCTGTTTCAAATTGTTCTAATGCTTACTGAGCAGAAGTTGTTGTGCATTCGTATGCGGGTACTTGTAACTATTTTATAATGTTGTTTGTTAACTTTATTTGTTTACGTTGTAAAAACTTATTTCGTGCCTGCAATTTGAGGTGAGTTCGGATCGTTTGTTTAGTAAGTTGATCTGGGACGGAAATTATAGCGATTTTCTCCAGACAATGTTTATAGTTTGAGGATATATTGTTGTCGGTTGATACTGTTTTCCTTATTTCCCTTGATATTTTTCGTGTAATTTTGTTTATATATATATATATATATATATATATATATATGCTCCTGAAAAATTTATTTCAGTTGAACTCTCTGGGGAGGAAGTGTGGGTTTGTAAACAGTGACTATTACGGCTAATAATGCAAGACTCTTCGGTAAATCGAATCGAGTTCTCTCAGTCACTGTGTGTTTATCTAAAAATAAATACGCTTAAATTCACCTTCATCCCTGCCGTGCGTCAACGGCTTAATAGAATCTTAGGTAGAATCCCCGACTGACGCCAATTCAGTTGGGTTTCGATCCTAGCAACCAGATGTCTAGCCACACTGATGAGCTGCGAAACAGTCTGTCTCTGGATGACAATATATATATATATATATATATATATATATATATATATATATATATATATATATATATATATATATATATATATATATATATATGTGTGTGTGTGTGTGTGTGTGTGTGTGTGTAGGTACTTCCAAAAAATTCGCTGAAAGGGACACATGATGAAAAAAAAAATCCCAAACCATAATAAAATTAAATTTTATCGTCATAATCTTCTTGCTTTTATTAAGAGAAAAGATCAAAAGATTTTTTTATGTAGAAATTGTTGTTTTTTGTCTATATCACTGAGATGAGGCATTATGATTACTTGCATTATTCGGACAGTTATCCTCATTGCAATATTCATAAAGTTTCGGCTGTTGTACGCTCCGACCTTCTTCAGGTTCACCGGTGTAGATTGTTCTAGTTACATATGCGATGCCTCTTTCGGATGTCTCAGTTATTTCCCTTTAACTCAACTCTTCAAGCTTTGGTTCATCACTGCTGTGGCCTGGTATTGAACTCGCAGCTCATTGGGTTTAGTCATTGGATCATAACACAACGTCTATATCCACTAGGCCTTGTTTTGTTTTATCATTCATTTGGGACCATGTTTGAACGTACTGTTGTGGTGAAAAAATTTGATTTAGAAATTCTTGTAAAAATCAGATAATTGTCGGTATTTAATAAAACTTTCAGGGCTTATTCATTATTTTTATGACGATGAATGTAACTATTTTAGGAACCTTTCTTTTTATAGAAAATCTTGGTAAAATATATATATATATATTTTTACACCTGTTGCGCTCCATACATTTAATTTTATGACATTTTTGGATATTCTTTTTTGTATTTTTTGTATATTTACATTTTTTATAAGGTCAAGTCTTCGGAAAATTTACAATACTATCAGTTACCGAAAATTTGCCCTGAATCTTGAAATAAAAAATGCAATAAAACTTAGATATTATTTAATTAGAAAAGCTTCTACTTGCTTTTAGAAATAAAATAAATTATGGACACTATTGTCTTAAGAAATGCTTTTTGATGAATAATGAGTTTTTACAAGAATTGTTTTCATTTTTTTTAAAATTTTCATTAGAATAATTTATAAACTTTAAGAGCTTTTAAAATTCATTACTGAGTTGTAGCGGCCAAGTGATGTTGCTATGATGTTAAAACCGTATTTACTACTCCTAAATAGAAAACTTCACAAATTAACTACCCGAGTATTTTAAAAATATTTTGAATTTTTTAATATGAGTATAAACATGTCAATTTTATAAATACGAGCTTCCATACATTATCAGACAATAAGAGAGGTACCTATAATAAATTTAAAATTTATTGGTAACTTCCTGAACAAACCTTTTCGTAAGTAAGACTCTAAAGCCAAAGTACCTAAAATTCAATGAAATATTAGAATGCTTAAAATATTTTTCAATTTGTAGGATTACGTGTTAGTCAAAAATATATTTAAAAAAGCGTTCACCTTGTATTCGTCATGTAATTTATTTCGGTTCTGTCCTCCTTATTTAAATTAATGAGGCTGCCAATTAATCACTCAACACGTTAGAAAAACAACCCTTCCGTTTTTGAAAATTATATTAGATTTTTGAAAGATTTTTTTTAATAAAGAGAATTATTTTGTGTTAACAGATCTTTCAGTTTCGATGAATTTATAGATTTTACTGATAAAGAGAAAAATAGATTTCAAGCATTTTAAATTCGGTTTGAAAAAGAGGAATGGGGAAAAGGACGGTTTTCTTCTGTCTTAACGTAAAACTTAACTAGCCACAAACACTGATCCAAATATACAACAATATTTCTTACACCAAAGCAACGCATTCTTACTTAACGTTTTTACCTCATTCACCATAATGCATCAGGAATTCCATGATGTCCTAACTAGTCCGCATATGTACAATTCATTTTCTGGAGGGGGTGGAGGGAAATAAAACAAAAATTTAAGAACTCGCCCCAATGTGTATTTACAATATATAATGAAAAATCTATTTATATGAAACTAAATAAAATAATGTTAGTAATAAAACTTCTCCGCAATCTTAATTGTGGCAGAAACATCAGTTAACTTGAAGAAATCAATGCGGGACTTTATTAATATAAAACATTCATTTATGCCAAGAACTCATTCAAACACACACTCATCAGATAGAAAAACAAATACGAAAATCACACCCAAAACGAAAGGTGCACCGCAGACACCAAAGAACTGACATCACTGACCACCTAACGAGGGGGACAGGGAACGAGGAATTAAACTAAAGAAAAATAGGGACAGAAATAAAAATGGCCAATGAGCATAAAAGAAAATAGGAAAGTTCATCAGAACAATTACTATGAAAGTATTTATAGAAAGGGAACAGGGAAGTTATATTATGGCGGTGAGAAACTGACTCAAACCGAGATGCCAGGTCAGGACCAACAACATAATGGATTTTATGAAGAATATCTTCATTTTATTTTCATCATTTCATATATCGTTATATTAAAGACACTGCGATCTAGTATCGCTGCTAGTGCAAGTGAAATAAAAATCTAGCATAAAAAAATTACTTAAAAATCTACATGGCGTATATATATATATATATATATATATATATATATATATATATATATATATATATATATAGTATATACCACTGGTATTCGATGATACCCGCTTGCTCAGGTACATTTGTATTTGTTCAACATAATCAAACTGTGGTTTATGCTGCAATTATGCAGAGCAGACCTTAGTTACAGTTTTGGGGAAAGAGTATGTTATTTAGCGTGATCAACAATTTGAACAAGGCCAGGACGCTCAATTCCTCGGTCACGGTGACTTGTTTCTTCGTGCTAGCACAGCTATCGACGGCACTCAAGGGTTTCGTCTACTCACAAGGCTTGGGTCAGCACGTGATATGGTTTACCGGCATTTTCCAAAGTCTCCAGTTCGATAGCATCAAAGGAAGTCTCCTTCCTGACAAATCGACCATGGTGACATTCAAACTATACAATCTAATCGCGCACCGTGAATTATACATTAAGGACATCGGGCTGTACAGAGATGACGTGCTCATGGTAGTGAGGAGCTCCGTAAATTTTAAAATAGATAAAATTAGAAAGATAATATATAGTGGATTCAGAAAACTAAACTTAAAAACTACAGTCAATACTAAATTAAAAACGGTAAACTTCCTCGACGTAACTCTAGACTTAATGAACAACATTACCTACCTTACAGAAAGCCTAACACTAATCCCTTGTATGTACACCCTAAGTCAAACCACCCTCCGTCTATAATTAAGCATATACCCACATCAATAGAGAAAAGAATCAGCATGAAGTTCGCTAATAAGGAAATATTCCAACAATACAGTAATTTTTATAATACAGCCCTAAAAAATAGCGGATACAAAAACGATAACATAAATTATAGAAACAATAGCACTAACCAGAGGAAAAGGAAAATCATTTGGTATCTTCCGTTCAACCAAATGGTTAGTATTAAGCTAGGACATAAATTCCTGGCTTTAATTGAAAAACACTTTCCTACTAATAGCAGACTTAGCAAGATCTTTAATAAAAACACCTTAAAATTAAGTTACAGTTGCACTGAGGATCTAGAAAGAATCATAAACAAACATAATAATAAAATTCTGGAAAAACACGCATGCCAAAACAGTATTAATAAAAATCTTAAAATAAAATTAGACAAAAATAATGAAAAATTATGTGATTGTAGAAACCCTGAAGACTGCCCGTTGGAAAATAAATGCCTCATAAAATCCGTAGTATACCAATGCACTATCTCATCCATTGAGAGTCCTAACACTGATAGGATATACATTGGTTCAAGGAAGAATGAATTTAAAATTAGATGGAGACAACACGAAGCTCCTTCAATAATATTAGAAGTAGAAATCAGACATCTCTATCCAAATATTTTTGGCATTTATAAGAAATGAATAAAACACCAAAAGTAAAATGGAAAATAATAAATAGAACAAGAACTTGTAAAACCTGGGATGACCCATGCCCTTTATGCCTACATAAAAAACTACACATTATTAAATAATGAAAATTTATTAAACCATAGACATAGAGTTAACAGTTTTCTGCTGACATCAACAAATTTTCGCATTAAATAATTAGCATAAAAAAAATAAATTTCATAGTCTAATAAAAGGTTTAAAAGCTTAAGCCAATCATAAGATAGAAAAACCCTTTATGAAGTCGTCAAAAAAAAAAAAAAAAAAAAAAAAAAAATTGTAGGTCAGTGCGACGCGTTTAAGTGCGAAACAGCCCTTTAGAAAAAACAAACAAACAAAAAAAAAACAAAAAACAAAAGGATAAATAAATAAATAAATAAAATAAAACAAAATTCATTAGGCACTTAACGACATATTATGGTGCCAAAAGCTATCTTTCGCTATGACTGACCAGAGATATGAGCACATGAATGCCATCATTCGCTTTGAAATGGATACCCCCACCCTACCTCGGCTTGACCTCTTTCTGAAGGTGACTGATATGTGGATAAAAATTATCTCTTAGGCCCCTTACCAAAATGGTCGCCCCAGCCGTTTCCATAGTAATTAATTTTGCGAATGAACATGCTTATAAAGATGCGTAAATTTCAAGATTGGTTATTCCTAAATTTTCGCTTGAGGATGAAACAGGGCTTGATAATGAATTCAATTTAATTTTAATAATTATATTGAGGTTTTCGTCTCTCGTTTTTGATATATGAGAACTCTTATGTAGCGAAGGAATCATATTTTTTAAAAAATAATTATTATTTAAGCCCTACTTCTGTATGGAACACTGCTTTTTAAAAATAAAAACAAAAATACTAAAGAACTCCGGATTATTTACCTAACGTGTTCTTTCTTATTTTTCTACATATATATATTCTTACACTCCCTTACTCCCACCATATATAAAAATCTAATAATATTAGAAAAACTAAATAAAAAATTCATCAAATTTTCCTTGGCTGTCATATTCAATGAAGCATGTTTGAAAGAAAATTGCTGCCCAAATATACATACGCATATATATATATATATATATATATATATATATATATATATATATATATATATATATATATTTCACATAATAATTAATCAAGTCTAGAAGGAGAATCTTCAACAGAATCGTTAGATATTTAAGCTTAAAAAAACTAAATATCGCAATGGCAATCATAAATATGAATGTAGGTCTGCATTTAAAAGATTTAAAGTTGACAAGGTTTTCCATTTCACTAAAGCAGACGTTAAACATATTAGAGCCTTATAACAACATCTTACCTTCTTTTTTCTTTTGTTCTTTCTTTTTTCTTTCTTTCTTTTTCTTTTCCTTTTCTTTATTTTTCTTTTTTCTTTCTTACTTTCTTCCTCCCTTTTTCTTTACTTTTTTCTTTCTGTCATTATTTTTCTTTCTTTCTCCCTTTATTTATTTCCTTTATTTCTTTCTCATTTCTTTCTTTTTTTTCTATCTTTTTCTTTCTTTCTTTCTTTCTTTCTTTCTTTCTTTCTTTCTTTCTTTCTTTCTTTCTTTTTCTTTCTTTTTTCTTTCTTTTTTCTCATTTCTTTATTTTTCCTCTTTTCTTTGTTTTTTCTTCTTTTTTCTTTTTCTTCTTTTCCTTCTTTTTCTTTTTTCTTTCTTTCTTCCTTTTTTTTCTTTCCTTTTTTGTTCTTTCTGTCTTTATTTTATTTTTCTTCCTTTCTTTTCTATTCTTTCTTCATTTTTCTTTCTTTTTCTTTCTTTTTCTTTCTTTTTCTTTCTTTTTTCTATCTTTCTTTTTTCTTTCTTTCTTTCTTTTTTTCTTTATTTTCTTTTGTTTTCCTTTCTTTCTTTCTTTCTTTAAAATCAATAAGTTTCTTTGATATATATTTTTGTCCGTTTAGTGGCCAGTGGTTAGCCAAGTATTACTACTCTATCCTCGAAATAAAACAAGAATAGTCCATTGTTTATCTGCGGCAATGGCGGGGCGTAACATATACGCTAACTTACTAACGTAGGGACAAACAGAATTATAATATAATTGAGTAAGCATAGCTTTATTTTAACAAGTTGATAACGATAGGGCACCCAGTGAGGATCAAACTTAACTTTTAGTAGTAATTAAATAACGAGAATAGCTGGCCTACAATTACACCATGGTGTCCTGAGGTGCTGATTTTTAACACAGGTAATTTCGGCATAATTGTGCGCTGAGTGCGGAAGTCTTTCAATCTGTTCGTTAATATCTAAGTATATATACACAAAAACACACGTACAGGCAGACATACACATACACAAATAGAGGCACACACTTTCGGACGCGTAGACACATATACACACTTGTGTACACCAGCACACGATCTCTCCACAAAAGAATCAGGAATTGTGTACAGTTTGATAACAAACATTCGAGAGCCGGATAGTTGACGTAGGCTCGTAGCTTTCCATAAAAAAAATTATCAATGCACTGACTCTAACCCTGGCGTGGTGGGGATATTTACTTGACATTATACAGGAATGAAAGATTTCTTTTGTTTACAGAATTCTGGAAGGCCAACCCTTAAAAATATAAACATGGAAATTTATCTTCCGTTCTGCTAGAGACTTTCGCGAAACTCGGTAGGTACAAATTTATATCTAAATATTTTTTTTATACTGGTTTCATTTTTAAATTCTGATCGTTTCATCGCGAAAATTTCCGTGATTAAACTTGTTCCTATTTTAATCTAGAGATAATAAAAAGTGTATGTGTGTGCGTGCGTGAATGTGTGTATATATTCACGTAAGCTTTTCACAATATTAATCATCATCATCATCATCATCATCATCATCATCCCCTTGACTTTTGTAATCGCAAGGCGGATCCGAATGCAGAATCCACACTAACTCTTTTCCACAACGGTCTATCAACGGCAGCCATCAGCAATTCTGGTACAGTCATACCTGTCCATTGTTTGATATTGTCCAACCAGTTTTTACGTTGGTGTCCTTTCCTACGTCTACCTTGCATGATGATCTTGCACAGGATGTCATGCCTTGTAATGTGTTCAAACCACGCCATTTTTCTCCGTGTGACAGTGGCAAGAAGAGGTTCCTGGTGGCCCACAAAACTTTCAACCCTTTTCCACACAAATTGTTTTTATGTTTCCAATAAAAGATACCAAGGAGTTTTCTCATGCATTTGTTCTCAAACGCTTGGATCCTTCTCTCTGTATCTGCCAACAGTGTCCATGTTTCACATCCATATAGGAAAATTGAGACTACTAGCGATTTGTACAGTCTGTACTTTGTTTGAAAGCTGATTTTGCTCCTCCATATTCTTGTCAATTTGGTCATCGCTGCCTTGGCTGCGGCAATACGTGTGCGGATTTCCGAGTTGCACGTACCATCTTTAGACAAGATTGATCCTAAGTATTTAAAACTGGACATTTCCTCTAGTCAATTCCCGTTCATGTTAATGTTGACGCAGGTGTTACTGTTTATGCTATTCACCATTATGATGAATTTCTTGGAGTTGATCTCCATTCCATATGCCCATGCTCTTCCACAAAGTTTGTTGGTCAAGTCCTGGAGCTTACTGTTATTACCTGTTATGAGGTGAATGTCATCTGGAAAACGTAAGTTACAGACGGGTCTGCCACTGATAGAGATTGAAGAATCATAGTCATTCAAGGTCTCTTGCATGATTCTCTCTAGAAATAGGTTGAACAATGTGGGTGAAAGTGCGTATTCCTGTCACACACCGACAGTTGTCCGGAAGAATTCACCCATTTTTTCTCTCAAAAGAACTGCGCTGGTGGCATCTTTATATAGGGTCTGGATGACTTGGATGATTCCGTTATCTACTTTGAATTCTCTAAGGATTTGCCAAAGACCGATATGTCATACACGATGAAATGCTTTCTTGAAATCAACAAAGTTATGGAACACGTCCTTCTGATTTAGGGGGTGTTTTTCTACGAGGATCCCACTATTGATATTAGTCACATTTAATCTTTCCAAAGTTTGAGAAAACTTATGAAGAGATTCGCAAGAATTCTTCCCAGATTATTCAGATATTTCAGAAAATGTATAGATTATAATCGACATGTCCTTCTTATGATGTGACAATATTTTTCCATATTTTGGCGAATTTCCCAAGTTCCACACAATTAGCCAAGTTTCGTAAGCTTCGAAAATCATCCGGCACTAGTTCAAAATTATAATTACAGAGCATTTGTGAGACCGACAAACATTTGTACAAAGGCAGACATTTTGAACAATGAACTGGAAATAATATCATTGCGATGATGACAAAGTTATAAAGATAATATTGTTCTGAAACGTGTTCGTTCATTGATTTCATGAAAAAAACTAGTTCATTCATTGATTTTGTGAAATAAACTAGTACATTCAATAATAAAACTAGTTCATTCTTTCCTTTTTTGAATGAAACGAGTTCATTCATTGAATAAACTATTTCGTTTATTGATTTTGTGAATGAAACTAGTACCTTCATTGAAAGAATCTACTCCATTCATCGCTTACATTCCGATACTGTGCACCACTTTTCCCTTATAAATATATCAACATGGGCACCTTGACGTGGTGCAATGGTTAGCAAGCTTGTCGTGCTAGATCTATTACGACTGAATAATGAGTTCGATCCTCACTGATAACCCAACATTTTCAGCCTTGTTCCTCAACTAAGCTACGGTTAGAAAATCATTTGGGCAGCTCGACTTGGTATAATGGTTAGAAATCTTGTCTTGTTAGATCAGTTAGGATTGATTACTGAATTCGATCCTCACTGGGTACCCCATACTTTCGGCCTTGTGCCACATCTAAGCCGCGCTTAGAAAATATAGCAACATTTAAAGTTTCTCTCTATATATATATATATGTATATATACTTGTGAATGTGTGCGAGTATGTTTCTGTGAGTGTTCGAACGCACACACGTATATATATATATATATATATATATATATATATATATATATAAAGGGATTATAGTTGTTCGAACGACAGAAAAGTGTATGTATATATATATATATCTTTAAGAGCGAAGACGCCGCAAACGTTTTTGGTCATAATGTGGATTTTTTTTATATATAATATTTTATTTTCTATATTTTTTGTTACACGCGTTTTGGGTCATGTGACTTTCATTAGGAGAAGAATGGTTATTTCCACATATTTTTTAAAGGAATTAATTTTTCCTTACTTTAGTTTTTTGAACCATTGTCTTTTGTGTGTAGTAGTAATCCAAACTCATCTTGGACTGCTGAAAGAGAGTCACTTTGTTTAAGCGATAATAAATACATTAAGACTGGTCAGAGAAAGAGGGAGGGATGAGGGTTTAGTTCTTATCTTTTTATGTCCTGTGAATCTTTTTAGACCTTCTTCCATTCAATTATGCGAACATTTAATCGCAGTACCTTGTCAGCAGTCTTTATTGAAACTATATATATATATATATATATATATATATATATATATATATATATATATATATATATATATATATATATATATATGTGTGTATATATATATATATATGGAGAAGAGCTTATAGTAGTTCCAACGAGAGAAAAGTGTGTATATTAAAAGAAGAGAGAAACTGCAAACATTTTTGGTTGTAATGTGGAATTTAAAAAAAAAATATTATGCTTTATTTTCCATAATATATATATATATATATATATATATATATGTGTGTGTGTGTGCGTGCGTGTGTGTGTGTCTGTGTGTGTTCAAACATATATTGCTGAATATAACAGACAACGAATGTGTATTATGTTTGATCATAAGCCGTTCAAAGCGTCGTATAGTGGCTTTAGTTTCAAGAGAAAATAAAGACAAAAACTGTCCAACATTTGAATGTTTATTTATTATATTGTTCGTTCATCTAAGATTTCCCTTGTCTGTTATATTAAACAACATATGTTTGAATAATGATCTGCTGCTCCAATACACTAAATTCAAGTCACACGATGCCGTAGCATTAAACGATCCCAACACCAAGAAATTTCTAGAGAACCTCATTAAACGACAAATAAACACATCCATACAAGAATTACAATGGCTCAACACTGAATTTGTACGTATTAAAGGAATCTTACAATCTTCTACCACCACTGAAAAATTCAAGGAAATATTGGCTTTATTACATAACACAACGCAAAAGGAAAATGAATCCCATAAACAAGTCATCCAAAAAAAAAAAGATGAAGAAATTATATAATGGAAAAATACTTCTACCAAACACCAACAACAGCTTCATTAAACTATCGGATTATCAACTCACCCCAAATGAAATGGAATTCCTTAATCTTGGACTACATTTTCACGTCGCACAGAAACCTAATCTCATGTTTAAACAAACGCAAATTGAAGCTTTATACCAACAAATACTTCTATTGCAACAAGATAACCATGTTTCTACACAGGTAGGTTTAAAAGATTTACTTAAAGCCAAAATCTATTAACCACCAATACCATAAAAATCCGAATGGAATTATAAACACTTCAATAAAAGCAGCTAAACAACTAAAAAATAAAAACTGTATTGTTATCCAACGAGATGATAAAACTAATACTTTCGTTATTTTAAACATATATGAGTATCACTCAATATTACTGGCCATTTTGGACGATCACAATAAATTTAAAACGTTAACCAATAACACCACCTCCCAACTTAAACACCATATCAATAAGCTTATTACTTAATTTAATATATTATAACAATGCTGAAATAGGATCCTATAAACTTCAAAAGATTATAGGTGATTTTTAACCTGTCTACCTTTACGGAAATGTAAAAATCCACGAAAAAAGATCATACCCTCCGACCTATCATTTCACAAATACCTACGCCAG